AAATCTTATAATTACAGCCAAATTAATACTGTTAAATTATAAGTCAAAATCAAAGCAGAAGGGGAGACCGGATGGCATAACAATGATTTCTTGGCATTTAATTTACTGTCAAATTTGTGCTTAGTGGCTTTGACAGGGTATGTGAAAGGGACGTGCTTCATGCGGTTAATTTTGCCCTATTTTTCAAGAACTTAAATCTTAAATGCCGTTTTTTTTTAAATTAATAAGTATTAATTTGATTAAATTATTATTACAATAAAGATAATAAAAGAGGAGAGATAAAAAAAAAAGTACTTATCAATCTTAAATGCTGCATCAGTCTATTGTTGATAAACGCATGGTTAATTGATTATTTAACTTTTTAATGTAATATACATATTGAATTTTAGTCACATTGACTAAAAAGATAAAATGTTGTGCATGCACCTTTGACCGAGCTTTTGTGCTCAACAAAACAATTTGACAAGACAATAATGTTGACAAATTTTTGTCTTGATAACTGGGGGAATGCATTTAGATGGTGTGTTGTGTCCTGCTATGTAGATATGACATTGTACAAACCCTGTGTGTTTCGGGGGAAAGGTGGCCGAAGGTATAGATTTTGACAGGCATTGCGGCAGACTAGTCATAATGTTCGGTGATCCTTTCCAGTACACTTCAAGCAAGTAAGTCGCACTGGATGAACTTGCATTTTAATTTTTTGGTTTTGCAAAGAGAACCATTTAATGCTATTGCTTATAATATTCTGGTTAGTTGCTTTTTTTTTCTTATGTCTGAACATAGTTAATCCCGAATTCTATTTCAGAATATTGCTTACCCAATTGGAGAATGTACAGGATACCTTCCAGATAAAGGAAAGAGATTTCCTTACATTTGATGCCTTAGTATAATTTTACTACTATCTTGTGCATAAATTAACTTGATTTACTAGACCATGTGGATATGAAGTCTTTAATCAACCTATCTGATTTTGTTGAAACAGAGGCAAGCTGCTCAATGTGTGGGCCGAGTTATCCGGTCAAAGGCTGATTATGGAATGATGATTTTTACTGACAAAAGGTGTATATTTACAAACTCTTTTTCAATAACATTAAAGATTTTGGAGTCTCTCATCAAGGGCTGATGGTTTTGTCTTGTACAGTTAGTTGCAAATATAATGAATCATCAAAGAATTCTCAATTCTTACTTTATCTATGTTTCAATTATTAATTAAAGAATTTTATTTTAAAATTTCCCAACGATGGACCTTTTTTAAGTTTTAACCTAATTTTAAGTTCCAGGTATGCTTGTTGAAGTTGTCATTTTGGTTATTTCCCCCCAAGGGAAAAACAATAAAACTGAAGAAGATAATTGATAGAAAATTGTGTTTGAGGAAGTAGCCTAATTCTGAATCCTAATAACTAGGTATCCTTTAACGTTCGGTGATTTTAGTGCAAGATAAGAAATTGCTAGCTAATAAGGACTTAGCAGACTGAGTTTTCAAGTGATAAGTCTTGTCTCTGACTTCCCTCCCCTTCCCTCAAGAGCAATTTATTAGGGATTCCATTGTGTTTACTGAAGGTGGTTCTATAAATCGCTACATGTTGAAAGCAATCATAGTAGATTGTAGTTATATCATTTTGGGAAGAATTTTCTTTGTTATATCTCATTATCTTCAAATTTGTTGGTACAAACAAAATTTTGTAGGTATGGTGGTCATGACAAGCACTCAAAATTGCCTAGTTGCATACTGTCATATTTACGAGATGCACACTTGAATTTGAGCACCAATATGGTGGTTCATATGGCAAGAGAGGTATTTTTAGTTTTCAGACAAATGTTGTTTATGAACACTTAACATAGACAGTATAGCACACTGTTTCGGCAGCTTCGCAGTCCAACACTGTTGAAGTCCTCAACTGCTTCTACACCTGCAAAATCCCGAGGTTGTTTCCTCGGGGAAAACACTCTGACGCTCAAGTCAGCAATACTCAGTGTTCTAGAGAGAGAGGCTCTCAAGGAGTAATTGCAGAGAGAGAAGCATAGAGATTAATCACCTTCATCGGAGGTAGTTGGGGGGTATTTATAGCCCCTTGGTGCTGACATACATCTGCACGTGTAAGCCTCCCCTTGACTCGCGTGGCACTGGTCACATGAGTGTGCTTGTACTGAAGCTCCTTCAGCTTGGGCTAATGGGTGGTAACCTAGGCCCGTTATGCACGGCCCTGTTTGGGTGTTGGGCCTATTCCAACATTACTCCCCCCCCCCGGTGTTCGGTTGACGAACTGGGATGGATGTGACCGTGGGTCAACGTTCTAGCTGGTGATTATGACGGGCAGCTGACCGAGCTAAGAGATAATACGAAAAGAGGCGAGCTCGCGAGTCTAAAAGCGTGGAGGCGAGCTGATATGTGATTCGCAACAGACGAGCTCGCACA